CACGTGGTGTCATAAACACTGTTTCTAGGAGACTTATCTTTGTATATATTAGGTAGTGATATTACTGCGTTTTATTAGTAATTAGTTATAGTAATTATAAGTATTTTACTTTTATCTGGTTTTCTGCTTTTAGCACAGCTACTCAATTTTAATCAAGTATTTTACTTTTATCTGGTTTGCTGCTTTTAGCACAGCTACTCAATTTTAAAAAAGTTTTTTTATTTATCCTATAACAACATAATCGCTGTACAACAGTCATACTTCAACACTACGCCACAACTCGGTGGTTCGATTGATCCAAACCAGAGTTAAATGCACTGTTTCACACAGGTTGGTGATTCCTTCAAGACTAATGGTTTCATACATGTCGGTGTTTAGAACAAGCTGCTACTCTCCAATCAGACAGCTGGGGTCGTTGTTCAGCAGTTTTTAAATCCTTGAGCGATTTTTTTCTATTTAATTCTAGTTTCCCTAAGGATAATGGACAGTATGTGTTGTTTGTTTAGGGACGTTTCCTGTGAATGTAACAGAATGCAGGTAGTTATTAAGGCATTTGCCTGATATTTAGTTTAAAAATAATGGTTTTATTCAGTGTTCCGTTCTGTAATTAGCGTTCTGAGACGGTAGCCTGGCTTAGCCTGACTGTTTAGGAGAAGTTTGTCAGGTATTTGCTCAGGAATGACTTTTGTCCTTGGTTGTGACATCACGTGTCATTCACACGACGCAAACATATCACTGGTGTTTCTACTACGTATGCTTTTATGACGACATACATATATATCTATATATACCTGTGTTGGAGACCACACAGCACTGTTGTCTAGAGCAGAACAGTTAGTTGGTATCTAAACTGCTGTCCAATAATGTGCAGATTTAACATGTCCCTGTTAAATCAGCCAGTGACAGATGACAGCCAACAAACAACTGGTCTAAAAAAATACACTGAACATTTTATATTTAGGAGATAAAAAGCAAAGAATTTCCATTATGATAGGACAGTAAAATTTCACAAACATTTTTACGATCTTATTTACTTTTATTTTACAATAATTCCTCCTAAACAAATAATGTTTGACTGCCTCTTTGCTCGTAACCTTGACAGCCATCTCAACACAGTTGGAGACTGATCCAGTTTAGACAAGTTGTCAGTGCTGAGTTTTATGGTTTTATGGATTACAAGTCAGCCTGTTATCCACAGTGCTGCACTACAGCTTACACCCATGTTACAACTCCCACACAAGTAGGGCAATATGTGTGACCCGCAGGAGACCCGGTGACAGCATGGCAGCGAAGGTGGCATAATGGAAGATGTGGTATCAGGAGTTTAACTCTCTAAAGGTTTAAAGTTCTTCCTAAATTCTAGGTTCTCATACTACTATGATCAGGAGTTTAACTCTCTAAAGGTCCTAAATTCTAGGTTCTCATACTACTACTACTACTACTACTACTAATAATAATAATAATAATAATAATAATAATGGTAATCATAATAATATGAATAATGGCATCAAAAATATTAAAATCCTCAGTCAGATTCATCAGTGCATGTTGCCCTTAAAATAATTTACATATTCTATTTAGCTAAAGAAAAATGCTAAAAGTTGACCATAATATTTGCTATATCCTCCAGTGTGGCCTGGGACATATAACACAGGGTGGTGAAGGTCTGTGTTTAAACTAAAAGTCAGGTGCTTCACTTCACTTCACCTAGTTACCTCCTCAACCGTCAGTATTTGGATTAATGTGTGGGTGGAGCAGGAGCATTTAAAGCTTTTATCCAAAGGTCAGATGGATAGCCGTCAGCTTATGCAGGACTCCTGAAGTTACACGGGGTGAGAGCATGTCTTGGTTCCAGCCACACAGGTTAGTTAATAAATGACGAGGTGAACTGTCAACTTGAACTCCTCCTTTTAGGCAGATGAGCATGCCTCAAAGCTAGAACAGGTTGTAATACTGCACAGAGGTCAAGGTCAGAGGCCAAAAGATGATTGGAACTGATTGTGTTGCAAGAAAATCATTATGATAATTGCTGCACAGGAGCCCAGAGAACCGATGTGAACATTAACAGATCGGCCGTCAGTAACCCAACTGATAAATACGAAATGTATTTGATAATCACTGCTGTGATATATTTTTAGCACCTATCATATAATAATAATAATAATTCCAACAACAACAACAGCACCAACAATTATAATCATACTCATCATTATATACAGATGTATTTATTCTTTATCATATTATAATATATATGCAACTCATCAGCCTTCAGCTTTGCTTTTGACACTGTTCTCTTTTTTTACTCTTTCAGCTTCAAAGCACTTCTGGTCATAACTTGTTTTGTGAGTCAAATTGTTATTAGTAAATACCCAGTTAACCAGTAAAATACAAAATTATTTTATTTTGTAATTTCGTTAGGGCAGATATGTGACTGCATCTTGTGTCACATGACATAAGTGTGTTGCTACGAGTGACACGCAGACGTTAGTTTGTTTTTTTTTCTATGAGAAAAGGAAGGGCGTGTAATTAAAAGCAGACATGGACATAAGGACATATTTCTGACCACCGCAGCATATATACATACATTAAATATGTATGTATATATGCATGAATGTATGTGCAGATCCTTGGCAAATGCAACACAGTCCCCCTGTGAACATCACATGGCCCCCATCACAATATGGTTTTGGAGCTGGGGGCTGATTTCCCCTGTTCTAAGTCACACCAAAGACACAGCTACTGGTCAAACAACGCAAGCTACAAATCCACGCTGCTTTACTTGTCGACTGACTGAGTCCAGGAGGCGACACTCTGTCCCATTCCTGTCACTACAACAGGTATAGACCACGTCCGTCCACTGGTCATTGCCCTGCTGCATTCCTCTCTCCAACACGACACCTACCCATTACCTCACCATCACCTACTATACCTCTGTCAACATTTCTACCATTCTTCTATCTGCACACCAGAAAAGGTTACATCTTTAATAACAACAAAAGCTAAAATATTGTTCTCAGCTCCCTACGTTTTTTTAAAGGAGAAACAATTTAATTATACTATAGCCTCCACACAATTTGTGACAGCAAAATAAAAAAAAACATATGAGCACTACAGAACTCGTGCAAATCAGCCCCCGCCCCCATACTTTTATATCATCTTACTCTGCAAACCCATCAAACGTCCATCACTTATTCTGCGTTTATGAGAAGGAGATATGGCCAAAACAGGACTGTAACCACACATTACTGATATGTGTGAATAGCAGTTAAAAATTAAACAAGCAACTCCCAGACCACAGTAAAATAATCACAACATCTTTAATGGTGTACTTATAAAAGAAGGGTCACTAGGTTGATGTTGGCACAAAGTCAACTCCACGGCAATAAGAGAAATGTTGGTAAAAACAATCATATAGCAGCAACAACTACTACTAATACAATAATAATACCTGTAATAATTAAAACAATTAAAACAACAAATAACATTAACCCTTCATATTAAAACAGAGATTAGTAATATACTTGAACGGTTCATAGATGCATACAGATGAAACTGTAGAAAGATAGTTGAAAAGTCTTCACACTCACATTAGCATCCTGTTGTCAAATATTAATTAACCTAATGCTTTTGGAATGTGGAAAGCACCCATGCAAACACAACACACAGACTCCAATACACACAGCCAGGGTTGAAAGCGAACGACTACTTCCTGAAATGACATCCTGTCAACATGGCCGTGACCCTCGGTCCAGACTGTTCCAACGTCACCGCTAAATGATGGGATGTTCACGCATTGAATTTTAAACGTTTGCCCCTAATTAAACATTTTGAGCAAAACAAGGAATATGTTTTCCAGACATACGAGGTGACTGGATCATTAACATGGGTTGATGTTAATGCCGCACACGAGTGGCAAATATTAAGGATCCATAACTAAAAACCCATCTGAAAAGACTTCTTTCGGGGGAGGAGGGGGACTGAATTATTCTGATGATTTTTTTTTTTCACAAACAAAAAAACAAAAACAACACACAAAGTGCATGAGCATTGACGTCAGTGAGGATGACCAACAACCATTGAGCCAGCCACCCACGTTCTAAATGACTAAATATACAATGGTACAGCAGTTCAACACTTCATGAAGAAGGAAACCAAACGATGGTTTGCTCACATCAAAAAGAACCAAGATGGGGGAAAAAAAGTTGCAGGTTTCTAAACCGACGAGGGGAGAAGTTAATGAGAAAGAGGTGAGGACAAATGAGGCGGCCACAGGAGGCAGGGTCAGGTGGATGAACGGGTGTGGACACACATGGGAGGGACTGGAACCCAGAGAGAAGAAACATGTTTAGACACAGCACTGCTGAAATAGACAGATGCTTTTAATGGGCAGCGTCATAAACGTAAACCTAATGAAGCAGATATAACCACGTGCAAAAATCAAAGGAATGTCAGGAGAAGGAACTGCACTGGAGAAAGTAGCAGCTTTGCAAACAATGTGCAGAACCTCGTTCAGAATTTTCCAGACCAAATCTGCATCTGGTATTGACCTAACACAAATCCAGGTGTGACTTTTGTAAAACTTTGATGACAGTACACAGGGCTACAGTATTTACAGGCTAAAAGTAACACGATCAAGGCCATGAGAGGGGTCACATGTGGAATGTAAGTGTTTGAGGCGGTTGATTCAGCGTCCATCCTGTCATATCTAATAAAACTGCTAAATCATTAGTTTAACGGACACATGGATTGATAAGGACTCCGGATGGAGAGTTTTTATACTGCGGCCCAGTGGCCAACTTTTACCTGAACCTCTGCTCACTTGTTCACTTTGCACATAATACGCCCGACCTTTAATCTGACAGCAGTCTCTCTCTCTCTGTTTCTCTCTCTCTCTCTGTGTATGTGTGTGGGGGGTGGTGGGTGGGTGGATGGGTGTGGGAGAGTGGGGGTTGCAGACTACTATAAGAGCAGCAGCTCACTCACTCTTAGAGTAACAGGTGAACCACCAACAAGAGAGGAAGAAGTCTTTCTGGTGCATTCAGGTGCATTCTGGGCTGGGTATGAAACATTACCATCTTTATTTTTAAAAAATGTGTTTTATTTGTACAACATGTTTTGGGTGTAAGGTCCGTTTAATATTTACAAAAAATAAAACTGTACTACTGTACTATACTACAGGAGCCTATCAAAAGTCAAAACTTGGCATCACATCATATGAGGTATCACAGTTTTACCTCATAAATGTTTTTACTCTTGGTGAGACAATGGTACCTTGTACCTTGTAATTTTCCTTTTTTTATTCCTACATAGTACCAATGTTTTGCTAATTACTAACTGTATGAAAACATACAGGGAGTTGGAAAAAGTTGCCTATTTCTAAACATTTATGTTTAATGTTTAAACTGAACTACTTCAAGAAACTCAGGCTAAGAAATTCACTGTCTCTCTTCATTAGTTAAATCAGTTATTTGTTTTAACTACTGTCAGGCCAAGATTATACTTTATTGCGATTAATTGCTTGATTTTATGCAGTTACTGTATGAGCAAAATATGGTAATGAATTGAAAAGTGGGGCACTTTGAATTAAAAGGTAACAGCATATGGACAAAAGTGATTTTGCTTGCAGTAAAAAAAAGGACTTTTTTACGTTGATTTGTCTGCGTCAATGATGTGTAGTGCATTTAAGTAATACATCAGGCGCAAAGTACTTTGGGTTTATCTGTATTGGTGGTGGTAAATTAGTTCTTTTTATGGACTGGGGTTGTTCTGAGTCACTGAGGTCCCCTGAGTCAGTATCATCAGCCACACAGATAATGACATTTCCTTGTACAGAGAAAAATCACCATTTTTAACAGGGAAACAATTTTGTTACATATGTTGTGAACTTGTAAAATAGTATCGTATTCAGAAATGTACTTTAGATTAAAATAAGATATTCCAGCTGACGTAAAGTAAAGTAAACCACTAACACATTTTAGCCTCATACTTCCAGGATCAGAGTCAGAGATAAGTTAAAAGGTAACATTTCGCCTGTGGTGCCTTGATGACTTTTGTCTTTAAATGTTCTTATCTGTAATGTTCAGTTAATGTTATCTGTGTGTTATGAATACTATATGATTATTCTACAAGTCTAAGACATGGCGCAATTTAAAACCAATTATACATGTTTCCCTCTCCGTATAGTCATACATGATCTGCAATTATGTTTTACAGATACAAAAATGGCTCCCAAGCCACAGCTGGATTCAGCTCCGCATCTTGGTATGTCCTCATGCATAACAGCTACTCCTACAAACATCACGTTGACCCAAGGATTCAATACATTTTTCTTTCCTCTCTCTCTCTCATTTTCTCTTTGTGATTTAAGACGGGGATTCTGCTGGACAAAAGCACATGCTGCCCTCATATTCCACTGTGGATCTGATCGATGAAATTTCAGAATCAGACCCCTGGGACCTTCCGGAACTCAAAGACACCGGAGTCAAGTGGTCAGGTCAGTGATGAGGGGATGGACACCGTATGAGATGTCAATACAGGTTGTTGGGTTGAATTTATGCAGCACTGCTCAGTCAATCAACAACACAAGTTCTTTTCACAATGTAATCGCCAACTCACAGTTCTAATGCTAACTGCACCTCATTGCAATGAATAGCCTTGATTCAGGGACTTTTAGGTGATCTAAATAACATTCTCCTGAGCGTCACATCTCTGTAGCTTGGTTCCAGCCCAGGTAGGATCTAAAGCTAACCATTAGCTATTACAGAATGAGGTAGAATTTTTACACTGTTATGTCACAAATTTTACCAGGTATTCCACATACATAGTTGATGATCTATGAGCAGTAGCGGCCATCACTGATGGTGCAAGGTGAAACGGGTTGTCTTTAAGATACAAGGTCAACGATTTGAACTTAGAGGATTTGACAAAATCTCCATCTGGTTTTAAGGCTGAATTTTCTTTCCACAGACCTGGACACGAAGGGGAAGATATTGCGGGTTCTCGCGGCCATCGTGAAGCTGATTCTGCTGCTCGGACTCCTCTATCTCTTCATCTGTTCTCTGGATGTTCTGAGTTCTGCTTTCCAGCTTGTTGGAGGTAAGGTAGACTGTACTTGTCTTACTTACTGTACTTCATCTACACACAGTGCCAACCAACCATATGCGTATGTAACAAACTTCTAGTCATGTGTTTCACCAAAACTGTCTTGTGTGAATGTGTGTGCGTACAGGTAAAGCTGCCGGGGACATTTTCCAGGACAACGTGGTGTTGTCCAACCCTGTGGCCGGCTTAGTGATTGGAGTGTTAGTAACAGTGCTGGTGCAGAGCTCCAGCACTTCCTCCTCTATTGTGGTCAGCATGGTGTCATCTGGATGTAAGCCTGCACACTAACATAGATACACACACAACTAAAAAAGACAGCAGAGGAGGGAGAAGAAAAAAGAAAATGTAAGAATAAAATGGTTGTTTTCTTAGTGCTGGAGGTTCAGTCTGCTGTGCCAATCATCATGGGAGCCAATATTGGAACATCTGTCACCAACACGATTGTTGCTATGATGCAGGCAGGCGATCGTAACGAGTTCCGCAGGTAAATATCCCTGTGCTTTATATAATAACAGTAACTGATTAAGGTAGCGTGTGGCTCATATACAGTATGTTGGTCTAATAAACTGGAGAAAGTAAGCCAAATAAGAGAGCGCCCAGGCAATGCCATGTTGTTGCATCTACAAAACAGCTGTTAAAACTCAGTGTGGCTGATCCTAAACACTGATACTTCCAGAAACGTCCCTGTTTCTGTTTACCTCTGCTGCGGACAAGCACAAAGTGAAAGGAGATAGCCCCGGAGCTAATGTTAGCTAATGTAAGTCTCCTGTGTAATTCAACTACGGAAGGCGCGCCAAAAGAGTAAAGAGCTAACGTGTAACTAGCCGTGTTACATGCACTGTTCGGAGAAAAAGCATTTATTTAATTAAAAGTGAAAAAGAAATCTTTCTGTGTAAATAACCTGTGGCTTATAGAGAAGTGCTGCCTATATATGTACAATGATTTTTTTTCTTTTTAAATGTAGTGGGTGGGGCTTATATTCAATCAATAGTCCGGAAATTACGGTAACTATTGTGCCCAGATGGACCTCATTTGGAGAGTCCCATTTTCAGATATTTTTTGAGCAGGGTTTCAATAATATACAATATTGAATCAACACATTTTCTTTGGGGAAAGATTTCTAACTGATGCTCCATTATCAGGGCTTTTGCGGGCGCCACAGTGCACGACTTCTTCAATTGGCTGTCGGTGCTTGTTCTCCTTCCTCTGGAAGTGGCCACAGGCGTCCTCTACAAACTTACTGCCCTTATCATTGACTCCTTCAACCTTGAGAGTGGTGAGGATGCGCCAGACCTGCTCAAAGTCATCACAGACCCTCTCACAAAGTCTATAATCCAGGTATCTAATTTAGAGTCAGTCAGATGACACTTCATTTGTCAAAGGATTTTTTTTTAAATCAGATTTTCTTTTTTTTGTTGTTGTTTCAGCTGGACAAGTCTGTCATCACTGACATTGCCACCGGTGATCCTGCAGCTAGGAACAAGAGTCTGATCAAAGTGTGGTGCAAGCAGAAAAAAAACACAGTAAGAAGTCAACATTACTCTCAAGTATTAGAGGAAGTTACTGGATTGTTCGAGTTCGGGTCGTTTAAGGACAAGTGGCAGGAAGGTGTTTGGTGTGACATCATGTCAGTGGAGAATGAAAAGAAAAGTTGTTTACGAAATGTAAAACTCGAGGTCAGCATTAGGCAGAAGAGGGCAGCAAAGAAAAATGTTGGGTTAGAAGACCCCCGACATGGTTTATTGTCGTTGTGAAAGAGGAAGTAAATCAGTAAACTAGTGAGTAGTGGTAAAAGTGAAGGAGATAAGGGAAAGAAGCAGATGATTTGCAGTGGCGATTCCCGAAAGGAGCATCCTGAAGAGGAAGTGGTATTCCTGAATATAATTAGAAAACCCAGAGTGCTAACATTAATGGACTTTTACATCATTTTTGATACATTAACTGATAGTTATTTTGAAATCATCTCTCGTGTCTCTTTTAGACTTTCTGGAACGAGACGGTAACAGAATGCCCCGCTGGTGGGATTTGCTGGGAGTCTGGAAACCTAACCTGGCTGGAGAAAAATCAAACTATTACAGATAACCTGGAAAGATGTACGTTGTGCTTGCAGGTCTTAGGAGAACAAAGAGAAACATTTCCACAGCAATTACAATCACCTGCACGGTGAAACAGGAGAGAGCCACCGAACAACAATGACATCTTTCATTATGAGTCTCAGATGTCCTCACAACTGCTACACTAGAGTCACTGAAGTGACTCAGCAAATGCCATTGCATGGCTCGTGCACAACCTCAATGGGTCCATTTACTATATCACTGAAGCGTGCATGTGTCATACCTCAGGCTAAAAAATACTTCCTCATGGTATACGGCCAGTAAAAGCTCAGCAATCACATTTAGAGACAGATTCTTACATATCTTTGAACCAAGCTGCAAATCGTAGTGCAAAAACTATTTGAAAAACATTTTGAAAGTTATTGTGATTCTCTTTTACAGGCAAACACATATTTGCTAATGCAAATTTGCCAGACCTGGCAGTCGGACTCATTCTCCTGGCTCTCTCCCTGTTCATCCTGTGTACATGTCTAATCCTAATCGTCAAGCTGCTGAACTCCATGCTGAAAGGACAGGTGGCTGTGGTGATCAAGAAGGTGCTCAACACAGGTATGTGTATTTATTTAAGGCCTGTTTGATAGTCGACACATTTAATGTGATAGTGATGCTCGTGATGTAATGAGCTACACAGGTACAGCAACATACCCTGGTGTGAGTTCACCTGCAGGTGTGACAGTCCTGCTGTGTGACCGGAAGATCAGGGACAAACAATATGCTGATAGAGAACGATAGAGAAGACGATACTATTTGTTTGTGGTACTGACATTGATCTGGACATTCTGCTCTTCTGTTTGACCGCAGACTTCCCCTTCCCATTTGCTTGGGTCACTGGCTACATTGCAATTATGGTGGGAGCCGGGATGACCTTCATTGTACAAAGTAGCTCTGTTTTCACCTCAGCCATTACTCCTCTTGTCGGTAAGTGTGCACGCCTTCATACCGTCTCTACGTTTGTTTCCACAGTTTCTATTTCTGTCTTTGGTTCAGTCTTCAAACTTTGGTTCAGGTCAAACAGGATAAATAAACAACTTGAAACTAAAAGCGTCGTTACGCTCCCAAACTAGCACAGATATGAAAAACATAAAGCGTTATAAAGTCGAACACCTCACCAAGCTCCAAACAGGAAGGTATAACAATGTAATGGGAAAAAACATTACAAGGAAGATTCTTGTAAAAACATCGTCTTCAAAAAGCAAGAAAAGAAGTATATAAGTCGAAGTAAGTCTAAAATATTAAATCCATAATGAATATCATCTTTGAAGAATTATATAAAATTTCAAAGATTATATAACAGCTCTGAAACAAAGCTAGCATATACAAAACCTAATAAGCTCAAGCTCAAATCCAGAAAAAATCCAGTGAAAAGATTACTTTCCGGTGCTGAGAAGATGTACAGTAACTTGTTGTTTGTTTTTTATTTTAATTAACAGGCATTGGTGTCATTAGCCTAGAGCGGGCCTATCCTTTGACTCTGGGCTCAAATATTGGGACAACAACTACTGCAATTCTCGCTGCTATGGCTAGCCCTGGAGAAACGTTAGCCAACTCACTGCAGGTAACACGTTTTTACATTTGATGTCAATGTTTGTTCCCCAACGTGGTTTATTTAGCTATGTCAGTTATTTATTCAAACTGAGTATCAGGAATCTGTGTTTTAATATTTTCAATATAGAGCTCCTGCATTAGTCCTTGATTCACTGTAGTATCTTCTAGTGGAAACAGTAAACCATTTGTCAACATTGTTCTTCTTTTCTTCTCTTTTTTTAGATTGCACTTTGCCATTTCTTCTTCAATATCATGGGCATCATACTCTGGTATCCTCTGCCATTCATGCGGGTGCCCATCAGGTTGGCCAGAGGTCTGGGAAACAGCACAGCACAGTATCGCTGGTTTGCTGCCCTCTATCTCGTACTGTGCTTCCTAATTTTGCCTCTCACGGTATTAGGCCTGTCTATCGCTGGCTGGCAGGTTCTTGTTGGTGTCGGTGTGCCCATTATTGTGCTGGTTATCTTTGTGATCATAGTCAATGTTATGCAATCTCGATGCCCACGACTTCTGCCCAAGTTCCTACAAAACTGGAACTTTTTGCCACAACCGCTGCGCTCCCTGGCACCGTGGGATAGGGTGGTGACATCAGCAATGGGCTTCTGCGGTAAAAGATGCTGTTGCTGCTGCAAGTGTTGCAAGTCCAAAGAGGACAAGATGGAAAAACAGTGTGCAGATCTATGACAATCCAGCCCTGTCAAAAGATGAGGACGCTGAGCAGGTTATCAAATCAACCCAACTTTAATATTTTCTCCTGAAAATTTAAGATGTAATGATAAGTCACTTTACTTTTATCATGTCACTAAACTATTGTTATGTACATTTACGTACCAGGAGCTGAGAGGTGGTTTAAGGGATGCTTGGTTTCAACTGTCTACTATATACAAAAAAAATTCTTTAAAAAAATTACTGTTTTCTATTTCTTCTAAAAACTACTACGGCCTAAAGGTAACAGGGAATTAATTTATTTTTGTTTACCAGTCATATCTTGGCTCTTGAAGAAGAGTTTCTAGTGCCTACCACGCTTCTTGCCTTTACACTTCCTGTACGATGTAAAATGCACTTATTTTATCTTCTGTTTGTTTACATCTCTCCAGCTAAGGTTAACAGATGATGTTTGATAAGGCTCATAGAGAAGCCAGCATTAGTAAACAAGCCTCCGTTGACAGCTCCAAAGAAGCACAAAGCCCAACAGATGAAAGCATTTTGTTAAATGTAAATATCGACATCACTTATTAATAATATTTAACTGTTTGTCACATTGTTAATACCTGGTTTCTGCTAATGGCTAGAGTTAGCATTGGACGGCCAAGAGTAATACGTATCTCACCAGTAATATTTGTGTGACATCAAAACTCATATTTTGTTGTGGTTTTTGATTGGGATTACCGACCAGTGGAAGCCCTAGATGTTTTTTGTATATACCTGCTGTTTTTGTGCATTGTTTAAATGTATTGTTCCAGTGACTTTCAAGTGGGATGGGCATTTCTAAATATTAAGACTTATCTTTATATTTTTAATATCGTTGCGAGGGTTCTTGGTGTAAGTTAAACACATGAACCTTCAAAGTTTCCTGTAGCATTTAAAATGTCATTATCTTTCTGTATTTATGACAGAATATTATAAATAAAATAATTTTTTTCCTAACATTTTTTTCTTTTCATTTTTACTTATTTTACGATCATTATGCTATTTAGAGACACAAATTCATGGTTGACATTCTTTCAAAACCAGATTAGAAGATAATGAAGACAACACAAAAATATCATCATTACCTTTTTTTAAGGTCATTTAAAAATAAGAGCAATACATATACAAATAAATATATGCTATACAAATAAAACTATACAACTATACAAATAAAATTAAGTTGACTTGATACTAAAGTTCAGTGAATAGACAAATTTGTATATAGACAAGCTGGCTAAATGACCAAAAACTGCTCCACAACTTCGACTGTGTTCTTCACAGAAAACACACACACACACACACACACACACACACATATATAAGGTTACAATGATGTTGACAGCAGAGATCAGAGTACAAAAGAGTAGTGATAAGGAAAACACTGATAAATGGTGTACCTGTAGTAGTAGATGTAAGATATACGTCATGACCCCTGATTTAAACAACCTCATAACCACCTTTAACCCAAACAAAAAAAAAAAGGAAAAATAATAATCTTGATGGTTGGTGCATTTTCAAATCTTTTAAATGTGAAAAGCTGGGCCAGTGAATCCAAACACTCCACTGCTGTCTACACTGGTCCAATCACAGCTGCACTCATCACACAAAACAAGAACGTTAAAGTCAACGAGAATGGTGTGGAAAGCATGTGCAGTAGGTGACTCAAAGTTACTGCGCTGATAAGACAATGTAACTTTCCAGTGATTAAAAGTAACTTTGGTTCGGTTTACTCTCAGAGATTTTCTCTCTGTCTTCACCTTGGTGCTTGCCCTGTATCAAAGCCCACATAAAGAATGTCAGATCTGTGTTACACAGAGGTTTCGACAGCAGTGGTTCCAGCAGTAAATAATATTATTCATATTACCATATTACTACTATCTACATGCTTGGAAAAGTAGAGCAAGGTTAGCTAACCTATTAAAAAGATATAACTGGGTAACTAGGTATCAGTTCAACACTATCTGCTGATATGTAATCTACGAACCCTTTCTTGTAATATAGAGCAAACCAACACTGTAAACACTGACTGTTGTCTAAAGTAAACTGTGTTTATCAAGGGTGGACACAGTAAAACAGAAACAGTTATCCTTGGAAAGAACTGGGAAATTCTTATGAAGGATCACATGCCTTGCCCTCCTGTCAAAGGCAAACTATCAGTAGCTGTTGGAGGTCTACAGAGTGGAATTTGTAATATGTTACATAGAAGTAACAGGTACCCTATGTGTATTTAGTAGTTGGTCTCTTTTGTTATTTGCAACTGAAGCACAATGCAGACCAGGACAAGGCCACATTTTTAATGGCTACAGTAAGTAGGTGACTGGAAGGTCAGAGGTCATTGTTTGTTGTTAATCCAAAACTTAAAAGTAAAAATATAATAATAATTTGGATTTAAGTTCCTGCAGTGACATCATTGATTGATTATTACTGAATTGAATTATTATTAAGACAAAGCACCAACACTGATCCCATACTTATCCATAATTCTTTTAACTTTTCAACAACTCTGAGCTCAGCAGAAACAGTGTTTCATACTTTAGAACAAAAACAAAGCCCTGTTTGATGACAGGTTTCTGTTTGTGACTCATGCTGTCCTCAGAATGCTCCTGGTATGAGCTGACTCTGTGTATCCGTGTCCAGCTGAGGACACTCAGTAGTTTTTAATAAGTCAGTGACGTGTGCAGTCTCTGTAGTAGTGGTTTTTCTGACCTTGGCAAATTTCCTTCTTTGGACTTTGCCCAGGTCAAATTAGTAGTGCTGGGAGCAGGAATCCTGATAACATTACAACAGCCACATCTATAATCCACCTGTGTCTGTGGTACTGGAGTCACAGCAGTCAAGAGGCAAGGTCAAAGTACACCATTAAAGGTCTGCCAGTTTATCACAGGGCCACATACAAAGACAACAGACTTCCACTCCTACATTCTTCTTCTTACCTTATCAATCAATCTAGTGTCCAACCAATCCAATTCTCAGTCTGCATGTTTGACTTTGGCTGAACCAGTGTCACTAGAAAACCCAGGGAGAACTCTAGCCATTCTCTCAGATATTCTAGTACATTCTCGTACATGTTTTTAACTGTGAGCTTTTTTTTTAAGGTTTTTTAATCCTTTGAACTAAAATATTCTTCCTTGTAATCAACTCTATTTAATAAAATGGAGACACACACAGTGAGCATCTGTCTAAAGGTGAAGAGATAAGTTCAACACCTACAACGCTATAATCTGTGTTAACTGGAAAAACTGGACTTTGGCAGTCTCTTCATGAAGACACTGATCTGTTGTTACTTCTGACAAAATGATGAAGGAAAATAAAAAAAATATCACATCGCTGTGGTGCTATACAACTAGAAAGACAAGCAAGGAATAAACACACATTGTAACGCACATGCGCATACACACACACACACACACACACACTGCTGATTCTCTCGAACTTCACCTACAGTTTATTATTCAACTGTTTATACTCTGTGTGGGGTTGTAATCTTACATAATCAGCATCGGCTGAAACTTTCAGGTTTCCATTTGATCATTTAATCAGGTGATAAGGCCTGGAATGATGTGCCCTTTAATCATTGCACCTCCTGCAATCTGTGATTAATACAGTCTTTATTAGCACTACTCCACACTGCAGGTCTACTGTTTATCTCTTTTTATCAAAGTATTTATCAAGGTCATGTTTTAAGTTAAAACAGTACAATAAAAGAGATGCAGTACAATTAAAAATAAAAGATTTCACACATTTCAATCTAACTGATTTAACTAGACGTAGCACAGCGTTACTTTCTGTTTCACAGGTGTTGTGCGTTGTGTGTGCTAATGCTCTCTTTTAATTTTTAACTCCTTCAACTACTGCCTTACAGGACACACCTATGTTCTGGTTAAATGTCCCCTGCTTTTACTGATCTAAGCAACGCTAGCACTAACTCGATGCAGACCAACCTCACCAACAGTGTTTCTCTGAGCCTTCATTAGCCTAGCCCTGACCAACATGGCTTCTTGCTCTCCTGTGTTGTCTTCTTCTTGTTTTTTCAATGTTGATCACCTCTCTGCCACTGATAGCAAACGGTATGTGTAATGTGGGGCTTCTTTGTAGCAATGAAGGCAAAGTACAGCAAATTGGAGACCCAGCGTCCAAACTTGGAGGCCAAAACTGTATAGCATTAGCTCACAACTATATTAAGCTGTTTGTCTTCTTTCAATTATTGGCTGTAAAATGTGGTTTCCAGAAAATAATATTAGCTTATATCAAAAACCTGGTCAAATGAGAGTGAACACAGAGAATAGTAGCACATTATATAGACCTTTGACTATGTTTATGAAAAACAAGGTTTCCTGACAGTTCAGAGAAGAGACTTATTGGTTTTCTTACGTATTATAACAGTCACCACACACTGCAGGACTGTCTTCGTTCCCCAACAATTATAAAAAGGCCTAGACATTCTGTTTGAATAAAACAAAGTCACCACTGAGGTCCTCTGAGCATGGCACCGTCCACACACACTGCTCCCCGGGTGCTTAAAGCTGCCCACTGTTCACTTTGGTGATGGGTTAAAAACAGAGGCCCAGTTTTGTTGTATCCCCGTGGTACAATGACAATACAGACCATAAAATTTAAATAATTAAAAATAAATAATTAAAAATAAATAATTAAAAATAAATAATGTATGCATTAGTAAATGTTAAATACTTTCAGGACCTAATTCCCTATCATCAACTTTGTTTGTTCTTCTCAATGGAAACATAGTTTTAAAAAAAACAAGTATATGAATGAGTTGCTCCTCATCATCCAACTCCCAACACATTGCTGACATTCCATGCAGTCCAAAATGCGAAAAAACAAGGAGTTGCAGCTTTATCAATTAATCAGCCCAAACCCTAACCTGTGACATCATTCTTTTCAACAACAAAATCCTGAGATATCTCATCCTGACTGGAAATAAAACAAAAAAACAGTCATTACCAGTTACTGTTTATCTTCCACACCACACCCACAGTTCCTGGCATTAATTTTCTAATACTTTATGACAACTTTATGAACCACTGGTCACCTCAGATTTTATCTATTTGCAGTTTGATTTCAACATACATGATGATGAAGCCCTTTGGTTATAAAGGTAAGAAATAGTTATCTCTTATGTGCACCAACTTTAAATTTAACCACTCACGAATACAGTATTGAATACAGTAGTACATCATAAAAATATCCTCAGTCTTCTACAGGTTTCTGAAACGCTGGGGACGTTGTAAGGTAAAAGACGAGCTGTCTTAAATTATACACTGAAAATTGTGTTTTCCAATAAAAACCTGGAAAATACAAGTATACATTTAAAGTGTCTTTGATGTAAATTGCAGTTTTATAGAGTCGGAACGGTGTTGGTCGTTGTGCATGATCTGGTCTCAGTCCCCACTGGGCGCTTTATTTTCATAATGCCACGAGATGTCACTGTTCCAACAGAGAACGAAGCCCAAACGGCTCCAAAACTCTCTCGAAACAGATAGCAGGAAAGTCTTAAAGCGTAATAAATGTTCATCCACTAATCATTGTTCATCAATGTTTCGCAAAATCTGTGATTTACTGCGTTGTAGTGTGTGCTGGTGCACTTATTATCACTGATAACTGGTGAAAATAAAGCTCACTTACCTATTTCCAGTGTTAGTTTGTTTGTGTCCAAGTAAAACAGCTCCCCTGGGAACAAGCACCTACAGAGGATCCGGTACAGACTAAAGTGTAACCGTTGACGTTTATCTCTATCAGGACCGAGTATACGTTTAAAAAAATGTAAACATTTGTATGAAATGTCTTCTTTGCCCAATCCCACTCTGAAACTCCGATATGGATTACAAAAATGTAGATAATTATTTAAAATAATTATTAGACTTTTAGAATTGTAGCCATTGCTCTCTCTCTTTCTCTCTCTCTCTCTCTCTCACACACACACAATAGCATTTTTACATCGCTTGATACAGAAGTCATATCTGATTGTGCTTACAGTGATTTTAAATATTTTCTCAAATTGATGTTTGAAATCGTTTTGTTTTTTTCAAAATTACAGCGTTACAGCCTATCAGTAGAGGGCAGTAAAGCAACAGTTATCCACAAACTTAAACGTACTGGGTATTTTGTTTTTGTTTTTTTAAATTAGGACATGTAATTGAGATACTTAAAAATGTTCGTTTTCACTCAGCTGCCTCCTAAATGTGGTGAATATATCCCTGATATTGTAGAATTGGTCATGGGCATGTTTATTTTATTTATATCTCAGTCTTGTGCCATTTTATTCTCTAACACTAACACTGAAGGCAGTCCAGTCTTAACAGAGGGTTTCATTCATTTTTATTATTAGAACTTACAAGTACTTTTAATGTTTTGCAATCCAGTAGACCACAAGAAAAGTCAAATGGATAAATCCAAGCAGTAGACAAGAAAAGTCAAATGGATAAATCCAAGGCATATGAGCAAAATATTAAAACATGGTTCAAACTGTGGGTGTAAAAGAGTCAAAAACAGTGGTAGAAATTGGGATCACAAAGAAGGTAATTAATATAAAGTAGGTCAATAGTGTTTGAATAAAATGGGTTGACTATTGTTTCGATGCTAAAAATGGAAAATCCATATCTTATATGGGGTCTGTGTCCCCATGCTTATTTAACATATGTAAATAGAGTTTGTGAGTCCTCATCTATGGTATTAAATGTGTCAACTCCCCCTACAGAAGCATTACCATCACCTACTGTTAAGAAGTACGCTACTTTTTTTAATTATAGTGGGTAATGACTTTTTTTCAAGCACAATTTTTTTAACACATCTCTAACCAGTGACACAAAAGTATTAAGGTTTTAACCTGCAATAGTCAATCAACCTCTGAGACCTGAGTCCATGATAATCCCACCACTGTCAAAATTATTCCCACAATTTCGGTTTGCAGTCTAGACACCTATGTGTCAGTCTGATTTAAAAGCACATTTTAGAAAACCTGGACTAAATAAACTGATGACATGTTTCACCATCTGATGTTTACATTCAATGTAATTTACAAAAACTCACATCACATCTGAGTGAGTTTGTCCTCAACTGAAAATGACATGTTGTAAACACCATTGTCCATAGTTTTCACCCTCGTCTCTTCATCAGCCTCCTCTTCATCTGTTCTTCTAGTTTTGCTGTAACAGAAGCAATTACATTTTACAAAAAAAGTTTTTAACTTGTGGTTAGTCTAATTATTTTGGACATTTTCCTTTTTCTACAGTGTTGGGTTAGAGGCTAAAATTTAACTGGAAAAACAATTGTATGGAAAGCAAAGAGTCTGAGCCTCAGTCATCCTTATGAATTATGACTATGAGTTAGTCAACCTAGCCTTAATTTTAGCTTTTGCAGCTTTTAAGCAACTTTTACGTTCATTTTGCAATTAAAATACCGTTTGCGTTTGACAATCGATGATGCGAGCAGAACGATGATGCCGGCAACAATGATACCCATCAGCACCCCAAACACAATGAGCCACGGGGGAGTGTCATAGCTGACTGGTGTTGCGAGGGTGGGAAGGATGCCGACAAACTCCAGGGTCTTATCAGTGAGGAGAAAGGCACTGTTGATGCGATGTCGGGACTTCCTAATTAGAAAAAGATAAAGCACAAGGAAAGTGTACACATTAACCAGGACTATGTCAGAACACAAGGCCTGTCAGCATGTGAGAACAATGATGGAACCTCAACCTCAGGTTGGTTCTTTAAAACAAAGGAGTCATTCTTCTTCTCTCAACTTATCTTATTTAAAGAACATTTTGAATGGTTTCCAGGGCAACGAACCACAATGAAGGTTTGTATTAACCATAAATTCCATGCAGTCATGTATGGACATTGTATTAACTCAAAGGCAAAACGTTACAGTATAATGTGCCATATTGGTCTGTTGTTCCTATAATGCTTTTTTGGCGTTTTGTGTTTGTCCAAACATTATAGATTTTACCATTTGCATTTGTTTACCCAGGAAAGAGAACACCAGCAGCTGGGTCATGTGATTACCTGATGGCCTCCTCGACTATATAGTTCTCCACCAGCTCTGTAGGGTTTCCTGGGGAAGTCACCACAAACCAGAACGACACTCTGTCCGTCTCATTACACACAACAATGTTTGAAATTCTGGTAAAAAAAAATCACAGAAAAAACATTTTAACCTTACATTTACAGAGTAACATATGAAAACGTTGACTTGTTGTAACATTGACTCACTCATACGACTGTCCTGTGTGAGACGTCCTCATAGCAAAAGCCAGCGTTGATTGGAAAAGGAACATTTCATTTTTATTCCAGGTGTACTGTTAAAAAAAAACATTTAGTGACAGAGTGACACGTCTGCTGATTTGGATATCTTCGTCTACATTATTGATATCCTGTGTTTACAGTATTGTATTGTATTGTGTTCTGTTAATGGTCTGGTAATGGTTAGCTTAAGGTGTAAAACCATGACCTTTCACTGCTTATTGAGAAACCTTTTCCAATGAAACGGTTTTGGAATGTGGGGTTGCTTTAAACAGGAATTATGTTCTGTCCTTAACAGCAGTTATAGACTTTTCTTCACTCCTTTGTCCATAACTAAAGGTTACAGCGCAAGAACAAACTGTACATACAGTATTAGTTTAATTTGATTATAGTTAACTAAACATGAGTTGCATATAAAAACAAAAAAATATATATAAAGTGAACTGATCGTATATGAATATTAGAACATACAGAGAAGAAACTATTGCTAAAATAAATTCTATTAATCTATCCAAATACTTAAAAAGTATGAAAACAAATTACTAAAAGTCATACATAAAAACATGTACATTTAAATCACAATGTAGCAACAGTTGCCAAAAATTCAAATAAAAATATGTTAAATATCAAATAGCCCCAATAGAAATAAGTAAAGTAAGTGGAATGTTGTTAAAAGTTGGCCTACATGGAAAATATACCATTTCAAAACGGAAATGTTGCTTTAGTGTTTAGCACA